GTGTGTCTGTAGTGTGTGTGTCTGTGCGTAGTGTGTGTGTGTCTGTGCGTAGTGTGTGTCTGTGTCTGTGCGTGTGTGTGTGTGTGTGTGTGTGTGCTGTAGTGTGTGTGTGTGCTGTGTGTAGTGTGTGTGTGTGTGTGTGTGTGTCTGTGCGTAGTGTGTGTGTCTGTGCGTGTGTGTGTGTGTGTCTGTGTGTGTGTGTCGTAGTGTGTGTGTGTGTGTGCTGTGTGTCTGTGCGTAGTGTGTGTGTGTGTCGTAGTGTGTGAGTGTGTGTCTGTGCGTAGTGTGTGTCTGTGTGTAGTGTGTGTGTGTCTGTGCGTAGTGTGTGTGTGTCTGTGCGTAGTGCTGTGTGTGTGTGCGTAGTGTGTGTGTGTGTCTGTGCGTAGTGTGTGTCTGTGCGTAGTGTGTGTGTGTGTGTGTGTGTGTCTGTGCGTAGTGTGTGTCTGTGCGTAGTGTGTCTGTGTCTGTGCGTAGTGTGTGTGTGTCTGTGCGTAGTGTGTGTGTGTCTGTGTAGTGTGTGTTGTGTGTCTGTGTCTGTAGTGTGTGTGTGTCTGTGTCTGTGTAGTGTGTGTGTCTGTGCGTAGTGTGTGTGTGTCTGTGCGTAGTGTGTGTGTGTCTGTGCGTAGTGTGTGTGTGTCTGTGCGTAGTGTGTGTGTGTCTGTGTGTGTGTGTGTCTGTGCGTATTGTGTGTGTCTGTGTCTGTGCGTATTGTGTGTGTATGTGTGTCTGTGCGTTGTATGTGTGTGTCTGTGTCTGTGCGTAGTGTGTGTGTCTGTGTAGTGTGTGTGTCTGTGCGTAGTGTGTGTGTCTGTGCGTAGTGTGTGTGTGTCTGTGCGTAGTGTGTGTGTCTGTGCGTAGTGTGTGTGTCTGTGTAGTGTGTGTGTGTCTGTGCGTAGTGTGTGTGTGTTTGTGCGTAGTGTGTGTGTTTGTGCGTATTGTGTGTGTCTGTGTGTATGTGTGTCTGTGCGTAGTGTGTGTGTGTTTGTGCGTAGTGTGTGTGTTTGTGTGTAGTGTGTGTGTGTCTGTGCGTAGTGTGTGTGTGTGTGTGTCTGTGCGTAGTGTGTGTGTGTCTGTGCGTAGTGTGTGTGTGTGTCTGTGCGTAGTGTGTGTGTGTCTGTGCGTAGTGTGTGTGTCTGTGCGTAGTGTGTGTGTGTGTCTGTGCGTAGTGTGTGTGTGTGTCTGTGCGTAGTGTGTGTGTCTGTGCGTGTGCGTAGTGTGTGTGTGTCTGTGCGTAGTGTGTGTGTCTGTGCGTAGTGTGTGTGTGTGTGTGTGTCTGTGCGTAGTGTGTGTGTCTGTGCGTAGTGTGTGTGTGTGTGCGTGTGCTGTAGTGTGTGTGTGTGTGTGTCTGTGCGTAGTGTGTGTGTGTCTGTGCTGTAGTGTGTGTGTCTGTGCGTAGTGTGTGTGTGTGTGTGTGTCTGTAGTGTGTGTGTCTGTGCGTAGTGTGTGTCTGTGTGTAGTGTGTGTCTGTGTGTGTGTGTCTGTGTGTGTCGTAGTGTGTGCGTGTCTGTGCGTAGTGTGTATGTGTGTCTGTGCGTAGTGTGTATGTGTGTCTGTGCGTAGTGTGTGCGTGTGACTGTGCGTAGTGCGTGTCTGTGCGTAGTGTGTGTGTGTGTGTGTGTCTGTGCGTAGTGTGTATGTGTGTCTGTGCGTAGTGTGTGCGTGTCTGTGCGTAGTGTGTGTCTGTGTGTGTGTCTGTGTGTGTGTGTGTGCTGTGCGTAGTGTGTGTGTGCTGTGCGTAGTGTGTGTGTCTGTGTGTGTGTGTGTGTCTGTGCGTAGTGTGTGCGTGTCTGTGCGTAGTGTGTGTCTGTGCGTAGTGTGTGTATGTGTGTCTGTGCGTAGTGTGTGCTGTGTGTGTGTGTGCTGTGTAGTGTGTGTGTGTGTCTGTGCGTAGTGTGTGTGTGTGTGTGTGTGTGTGTGTCTGTGCGTAGTGTGTGTCTGTGCTGTGTGTGTGTGTGTCTGTGTGTGTGTGTCTGTGTGTAGTGTGTATGTGTCTGTGCGTAGTGTGTATGTGTGTCTGTGCGTAGTGTGTGTCTGTGCGTAGTGTGTGTGTGTCTGTGCGTATTGTGTGTGTGTCTGTGTGTAGTGTGTCTGTGTCTGTGTGTGTGTGTGTGTGTGTGACAGGACATTTTAAAACAAAACTCGCGTCGTGGTTCATTTTACTGTTAATTTTATTTATGCATAAAAAAAGAAAATCAGAGACAGAGGAGGTGGAGATTGAAGAAAAAAATAGATTCATTATCTGTATACTTCTTCTATATTAGGATTAAGAGGAAAAGCAGAAAATCAGTCCTGTAATAGTGGAGCTTCAGCCACTTCTGTAATATAGACTTTCTTATAACAAAATAGGCAGTTTACGGGTCACATCTGCCCCATCTCCTCTGGCACCGGGCGGCTCCCGGGCGGCTCCCGGGCGGCTCCCGGGCGGCTCCCTGGCAGCTCTGTGGGCACCGCTCCAGGGCCGATGCTGCCGCGGTTCATTTAAGACACTGAGGACACTGAGGAGGACGTTAGCAGCGCTGCACACACACATTTACACACACACACTTACACACACTTATACATACACACATGCGCTAAGGGCTATATTTAGAATCAATAAAATCCATAGAACACATGCATCATAAATTTCTCACTTCTCTTCTTTGAGCAATTCATACTGGGAAGGATTTTCTGAAAAAGTGAGCATCAAACCGGCCTTGTTTTTTTCCCAGTGGGACGTGTTTATTGACAAAGTCGATCTTTTCAAGTCTTTTGAACCATATCGATTTTGTTTCTGGTTCTGATATTGTCATATTTTAGTTTTGGAATTCGGACATCATAATTATGTGATTGTTGGACGTCCTAACAGCGGAAAATTGCTCGAGGAAGAAAGAAGTTTGCGAACTCCGTAACTCCAAAAGGGAGTCAGATGTGTGTGACTGCAAACCTCCGTTCAACCTGCTTCACTTCCCAATGGAATTGAAAAATAGTCAAAGGCGACGGGCAGGATTGATACACAGGAAGGATGAAAAGGAACATTCCGAAGCCCATTTCTCGAGCTGTTTTCCGCTGTCGGGACATCCAACAACCACACAATTACGATGTCCGAATCCCAAAACTAAAATATGACAATATCAGAAACAAAAGTGATATGGTTCAAAAGACTTGAAAAGATCGACTTTGACAACAGACGCTTCTCACTGGGAAATCAAACATGGCGGTTTGATGATCACGTTTTCAGAGAATCCTTCCCAGTGTGGATTGCGACAGTCCAAGATTCGTGATGCATGTGTTAGTTGTGATCACGTACGCACGCATGCTGAGCATTTTGTAATTTGAATGTCTCTGTTGCTGCCAAATGTCAACTTTGTCCCACAGAATAATCAGAGAAGTAAAGCTGCACTACGGAACTTTTCAGACCAGGACGACTTACACATCAGATCTGAACATTCCAGGAAACGCAGAAATCTCCAGAAAGTTACATAGTGCAGCTTTAAAGAAATATAATGACTCCACATGCAAACTGTGGTTTAGTCAAGAGTCAGGTGCCCTCCCTGTGTGTCTCTATGAACATGTTCTGAAATGCGTGGGATTCTTGAAGGAGTTTAAAGTTCAGATTTCAGTCTCTCAGACGTGAAGGATCCTGGACGGCTTTGAAATGTTCGCTGTCAAAATGAAGAATGATTTTAGAATTACAGTAAACTGCAGAACGAATTCTATTTGACAGAATAATCCGTTTGATTTCAGGCGAAAGAACTGCATTTTGAAATATCAGTACATATAATAATTTTGTTCTATTTCCACCCCTTCACACAAACACACACACACACACACAAGCTTCATTCACTCACGGCACACTGCAAAAAAATGTCTACAAGAGAGAAAATTACTTAAAACAGAAACAGATTTTAAAACGCTTGACAACTTTTTCAAGAAATTTCAGATTCTGTTTACAATACATGCATCACGAATCTCGGACTTCCGGTCATTGCGCAATGCATACTGGGAAGGATTTTCAGAAAAAGTGAGCATCAAATCGCCGTTTTTGTTTTCCCAGTGGGATGAGTCTATTGACAAACTCGATCTTTTCAAGTCTTTTGAACCATATCGATTTTGTTTCTGGTTCTGATATTGTCATATTTTAGTTTTGGGATTCGGACATCGTTAATTGTGTGTTTGTTGGATCCTAACAGCGGAAAACGGCTTGAGAAATTTGTTTGTGAACTCTGTAAATGCAAAAGGGAATCAGATGTGTGTGATCGCAAACCTCTGTTCAAACTGTTTCTCTTCCCGACAGAATTGAAAAATAGTGAAAGGTGAAGGCAATGGGCAGGATTGATCCACAGGAAGGACCAAAAAGGAAAACTTTGACTGCCTAAATCATCCAGAGTTTGCAGAAAACATTTTGTATGTGGAGCGACAACAATGCAAAATCCCAATCCTTTGCTCAACCTCGATTATGAATTTAAAAAGTCAACGCCAAAGTGAAAGGAACCAACTGTTCACCAAGAAACACCTTCCACTGCAAAAAGACCAAGACGTGATGTTGCTGTAAAACCACAAGAACATGAAAGTGCAGCTCAGTCTGTTTGTCTTCTGCACCTCTCGATTAACAAACAGGATCCCGCTTTGTTGTCGCTCCGCATACAAAATGTTCGCTGCAAACTCGGGATGATTTAGGCAGCCAAAGTTTTCCTTTTTGATTCTTCCCGTGGATCAATCCTGCCCATCGCCTTCACCTTTCACAATTTTTCAATTCTGTCGGGAAGAGAAACAGTTTGAACAGAGGTTTGCAGTCACACACATCTAATTCCCTTTTGCATTTATGGAGTTCGCAAACAAATTTCTCGAACCGTTTTCCGCTGTTACGATCCAGCAACCACACAATTAACGACGTCTGAATCCCAAAACTAAAATATGACGATATCAGAACCAGAAACAAAAGCGAAATGGTTCAAAAGACTTGAAAAGCTCGACTTTGACAACAGACGCATCCCACTGAGAAAAACAAACACGGCGGTTTGATTCTCACTTTTTCGGAAAATCCTTCCCAGTATGTATTGCGCGATGACCGGAAGTCCGAGATTCGTGACGCGTGTGTATTCAAATCACACTATCTGCTCTATATACAGGCATAAGATCTCCACAAACACACTTGCTTTGAACGAATATTTTTACTTTTTCAGCACATTTAAAGTCATAAAAATATACTATTAAAACAAATCGCGTAATTTAAACTCCTGTAGACAGTTCTGCAGTGCGCCTCACCTCCGCTCGTTAATATAAAACTCTCTTAAATAATCTCGAGTCTGTAGAATGCTCACGGACACGCTCAGATTTGTGCTAAACTAGGCTGCGGTAAAAGATGAAACGCTAACTCTGCTTTTAAATTACCCCTCTAAAAATATAAATAAATACGCGCTTTGTGCACACAGAACTGCATCGCGTTAACGTCCTCGATCAGCAGGAATAACATATCGTCAAAACTCCGAAAGAAACACCAAAAGCGTTCAAATTAAATGTAGAAAAAAAAAAACTAAACGATTAAACGAAAGGGAAAGTGAGGCCAGATGAGGACAGACCGGACATGCTCTTAAAGCTCAAACGTGCAAAATGTCGCTGTGTCGAATCTCGTCGTCTCAACTCCAAACGCTGCCCCGAGACCGACCGCGAAGAGCCGGGGTCTCTGAGGTCTCCGGACCAGGTCTGGAACGCTTTAGACCGGGTTTAGGACCGGACCAGATGAGGACTGGACCGGTTGTAGGTTTGTGTTTTTGGACAGGTTGTGTGAAGACCAGGTATGGACATCATGTAGAACGAGTTGGAGACCGGCTGAAGACCAGGTTTTGGCCCAGACATGGACTAGACCAGTTGTTGACCAGGTTTGAACCAGATATAGACCAGGTTTTGGCCCAGAATAGCTGTAAACTAGGTCGGGACTACATGTAGACCAGCTGTCGACCAGGTTTGCACCAGATCTAGACCAGGTTTTAGACTAGGCATGGACTAAACCAACTGTAAACTAGGTCGGGACTACATGTAGACCAGTTTTCGACCAGGTTTGAACCAGATATAGACCAGGCTTTGGCCCAGACCAGCTGTAAACTAGGTAGGGACTACGTGTAGACCAGTTGTCGACCAGGTTTTGGCCCAGACATGGACTAGACCAGCTGTAAACTAGGTCTGGACTACACGTAGACCAGTTGTCAACCAGATTTGAACCAGATATAGACCAGGTTTTGGCCCAGACATGGACTAGACGAGTTGTCGACCAGGTCTGAACCAGATCTAGACCAGGTTTTGCACCAGACGTGGACTAAACCAGCTGTAAACTAGGTCGGGACTACATGTAGACCAGTTTTTGACCAGGTTTGAACCAGATATAGACCAGGTTTTGGCCCAGACCAGCTGTAAACTAGGTCGGGACTACGTGCAGACCAGTTGTCGACCAGATTTGAACCAGATATAGACCAGGTTTTGGCCCAGATCTGAACCAGGTGTAGATCACATGAGGAAGATCACTTGTAGACCAACTGTGTCCAGGTTTTGGACTGGACCAGGTTGTGGACCAGACCAGCTGTAGATCAGATACAGACTACATGTTGCCCAGCGATAGTTGTGGCCTGGTCTGGACCACTTGTAGACCAGGTTTAGAACCAGCTGTAGACCGGATGTGGACCACTTATAGACCAGGTTTTGGACCAAATGTTGATTGGACCTCTTCTAGACCAGGTATGGACTTCATGTAGGCCAGCTGTAGATCAAGTGGAAGAGCAGATGTGGAGCAGGTTTTGGACCAGGTGTGGATTAGAACCCTTCTAGACTGGATCTGGACCACATGTAGACCGGGTTTAGTCCACATGTGAACCAGTTATGGAAACCGTTAGGACTGTTTTGGAATGAATGTGGACGGGAGCAGATGCAGACCACGATGAGAACCAGTTGCGGACCAGATGTGGACCAGATGTTAGATTAGATTTGGACCATATTTGGCAAAAGTTCTGGGTCTACGCGGAGGGAGAACCACGTGTAGACCGGTTGTAGTGCAGGTTGTGTACCAGACGTTCTCCAGATGTTTGTGGTGGGACAGAGTCGGAGGCAGCCGGAGCACACGGAGATCTTCAAGAACTCGTCTCAGAGCTTGTCCTTGGCCTGGACCCAGATGAAGGGGCCTGACTGCTCCTCGATGATCTGCTTCACCTGCTCGTAGATCTCCTCCAGAGAGTCGCCCTGCACGATGGCTACAGCCCGACACAAAAGACCAGAGTCAGGACAGAGAACAACTCTTAATAAACAAACGCTAAATACACACATATATACAGACGTGGACAAAATTGTTGAAAGAAAAATAAAAAAAATCACTGAAATAACTTGAAACTGAGAAAAGCAATAATAAATAAAAATTTCTTGAAAATTGTCCAACAAAAACCAAACATTGCTTTTCCTCTGTGGTTCAAAAGAATTATTAGAAAAATCAAAATAATGAAACTGGCCTGTAGAAAAAATGATGCTACCCTTAGATCTAGACCAGGTTTTGGCCCAGACATGGACTAGACCAGTTGTCGACCAGGTTTGAACCAGATCTAGACCAGGTTTTGGCCCAGACATGGACTAGACCAGTTGTCGACCAGGTTTGAACCAGATCTAGACCAGGTTTTGGCCCAGACATGGACTAGACCAGTTGTCGACCAGATTTGAACCAGACCCGGACCAGGTTTTGGCCCAGACATGGACTAGACCAGGTCTGAACCAGATCTAGACCAGGTTTTGGCTCAGACATAGACTAGACCAGTTGTAGACCAAATTTGAACCAGATCCGGACCAGGTTTTGGCACAGACATGGACAAGACCAGTTGTCGACCAGGCATGAACCAGATCTAGACCAGGTTTTGGCTCAGACATAGACTAGACCAGTTGTCGACCAGGTTTGAACCAGATCTAGACCAGGTTTTGGCCCAGACATACACAAGACCAGGTCTGAACCAGATCTAGACCAGGTTTTGGCTCAGACATAGACTAGACCAGTTGTCGACCAGGTTTGAACCAGATCTAAACTAGGTTTAGACCAGGTTTTGGCCCAGGTGTTGGTTAAGGGAAATCTGGGCTTTTTATTGTTTTTTAACAGACAAAACATCTTATGTTACGATTTCCTGGTCTTTGCTTCTCTTCAGCAAATCAAGTTATCCAAAGTATTCAGATTACGTTACTCACTTTAAGTAATTTAATGAAACGACATGTTGGTGTGTGTAATCTGTAATCTGTAGGGGATTACATGTTAAAAGTAACCCTCCCAACACTGGTTCTAGTTGTACCTGTGAAGTTCTCGGTGAACTCCTGCTCCAGTTTGGTGGCTCGGTCAAATGTCTTCTTGCCCTGCTCCTCGCTCAGACGCTTGTTCATTTCCCTGAGGAGACACACAAACTACAGTCAGTGGAGCTGCGTGTGTGTGTATATAGTGTGTGTGTGTGTGTGTGTGTGCGGCAATTCGTGCTCTGCATTTGACCCATCCTTAAACGGGTCTGGTTGTGTTTGCCCCACCGAGTTAAACCAGAACAACCTTTTTGATGTGAGTGCTGATGATAAAAAGCACCAGCTTAGGAAAGAAATGCAAAGTGTTTCCAAGTGTTTTTATGTGTCGTACAGTATCGATATCGTCACGGTATGAACCTCACGGTACGATATTTATTGCGATATCGTGGGAAAGCTCACGATTAGGGATGTAACGATATCCAAATCTCTCTAAATACTAAATCTAAATACACCAGCGCCATCTACGGGCACAACAAATGAACTGCTACACATATTGTCAACTGTTACGACACATACCTCGATCCAGTGAGCTTTCGATTCGATACGATATATTTCAAATCAATTCGATACGGTTCAGTCAAAAATAAAGGCAAAATCATAACATAAACATACATAGATATAAGGAAATTATTATAGCTAGGTATGCTCAAGAAGAAATTTAATTTTATCGTTATCTGAATGCAAACTACGCTATATTTATTTTTGTATCAGGAGTAATGTGACATACGCTAAGGGTCTGGCAGAAGCACATTATTGCTTTAGTGGGATTGTAAAAGGGGGTGAGGGTGGATAACAATTTTTTTTTTCTTATTTTTTTTTTTATTTCTACTTTTGGATATTATAGTTGTGATGAGCAATGTAAAATAATAGTGTAAATAATGTAAGTAATAGTATGGAAACATCCGAAATAAACTTATCATCATCATCATGACTGTGACATTAAAAGTCTTTGTTAAACCACTTCTTGCGCAAAGTTCATATGAAACACAAACATTTTAATCCTCAAAAACAGTGAAAATGTCAAATGTGTCGCATAAATAAACGAGTTTCAATCCTCTAAACGAGCGACAAAACTGTATCACTGTAACAAAATTATTATTAGGGGTGTAACGATATCCAAGTCTCACGATACAATGTCCTCACGGTACAATATTTATTGCGATATCGTGGGAAAGCTCACGATTAGAGATGTAACGATATCCAAATCTCTCTAAATACTAAATCTAAATACACCAGCGCCATCTACGGGCACAACAAATGAACTGCTACACATCTTGTCAACTGTTACGACACATGTCTCGATACAGTGAGCTTTCGATTCGATACGATATATTTCAAATCAATTCGATACGGTTCAGTCAAAAATAAAGGCTAAATCTTGGCTGTGATACTAAAAGTCTTTGTTAAACCACTTCTTGCGCAAAGTTCATATGAAACACAAACATTTTAATCCTCAAAACAGTGAAAATGTCAAACGTGTCGCATAAATAAACAAGTTTCCTTCCACTAAACAAGCAACAAAACTGTAGCATTGTAACAAAAATATTATTAGGGGTGTAACAATATCCACGTTTCACCTCACGGTACAATATTTATTGCGATATCATGGGAAAGCTCATGATTAGGGATGTAACAATATCCAAATCTCTCGGTTTTCACGATATACATCTCACGTTAACGATATTTAATGCGATATTTTGTGGAGGCTGAACAGCTAAAACTCTTAATACGCGACTTTTTCCCTCTTGTCAAGACTTAATCCGAAAGAACTAAGACTTAAAAGTGCTTAGAACTGTTATTTCTTCTTGTAGTCTGCGCTGAAATGGAGCAAAGGATCATGGTCGATGTAGTTCCCTGTTTTGTTTTGGGGTTTTTTTTAGCTGCTGCTGCTCCATAACCCTTAATTTAAGCAAAGTGACTTGTAATTCGATATATTGTGATGAAGTTAATTTGTCTGAAGTCTAATAGAACGGCGTGGAAAGAGGCTGAAGAGAGTTTGTGAGTGGAGGAAGTGGAGGAGGAGGAGGAGGAGGCGCAGACTCACAGGATGTTGTCCACAGACTTGGGCTTGATGAAGATGGCGATGGGGTGGAGCTGGGCGAGCTGCAGTCTCTTGATGGCGTTTCCAGACACGTCCAGGATGCAGTGTTTACCCTGAAACACACAAAGGACTCTTCATTACTTCTGACTCGGACTTTGGCACAAGCGCTCCACCTGCTGGTCAAGTAAGGAAGTAAACTAAGGGCCTGTGCGGTGGATAACTCTGCCACCACTCCATAGTGTCAGTATTATTTCATTTAAGTTCATTTACATTAAGTTAATTACATTACACATAATTTAATTCCTTTATTTAGACTTATATTCTAATTTGTGTGCACACATTTTAGTTAATATAAGTCCGAATTATTTACTTACACTTGTTTTTTTTTGTTTATTTGTTTGTTTAGTTTGTGTTAAGGTCACTTTATTATCACTTATTATTTTCTGTATTATAATTATTTGTCTTAGTTAGTAGTTTAATTAATTATTTAGTGTAAATCCTCCCTCTTGTGTTCAGTTTTAGTTGAACCTCAAGTATTTAAACACCTCTGCTCTTTGTCTGGTTGTTAGTTTTGTTCTGTTCAGTTTGATTTAAGTTTTCCCAGTTGGGCCCGGCTTTTTTTGTTTGTTTGTTCATGATCTACCTAATTTGAGCCTTTGTTAAATTATCTCTTTTTTGACTTTATTAAATTTAAACTTATTTTTACACAGCCTGTTTACACAAGAAGGCTTGCGGGTAAAAACGACAAAATATTTTAGCGGAAGTGGCTTTCGTTTAGACGGTGATGGTGTTTTGGGGGATTAAAAACGCAAAAATCTGAATCCAACCTCCAGAGTGGAAAAGTTGAATACGCTCCGCCAGAGGTGGGACCAAGTCTTTGTTTTGCAAGTCTCAAGTTTTTGACCTCAAGTCCCAGGTCAAAGACAGGCAAGTCCAAGTCGAGTCTCGAGTCATTGGACCAAAAGTCCAAGTCAAGTCTAAGTCGGCTGCTTTGAGCTTCAAGTCATTTCAAGTCTTTAAACCAAAGTACCAATACAGCTTAGATTTTTGCAATTTATATGAAACTTAACTGTACTTTAAAAATTCATGGTGTATTTATATATGAGTATTTATATAAGAGTTGTAGATTTTTTTCTTTTTAAATGTCTTGCAAAGATCTTAGTGTGAATCATTAAGTCGTCTCAAGTCACGGGGCTCAAGTCCAAGTCAAGTCCCAAGTCATTAACATCGCAAGTCTTGATCTATTTTATCAAGTCAAGTCTCAAGTCCTAAAAATAGTGACTCAAGTCTGACTCAAGTTCAAGTCACACTGCGCTCCACTGTAGCGTTTCTGTCGACACTGCCCAAGACGTAAAACTCTGGTCAGATCTGCTCAGGTCGCGTACGCGTTTGTGTCACATACATACAGTACACAAAAAGCTGGCATGCATACACAATCTTTACACACACTTTTGCGTCTTCTGTTCAGACTAGGGATGGGCATGATTAATCGATTAATCGATAATTGATCATTAAGAATTTCATCGATTACGTTCATTTTAATCGATAAACCAAATGTAGGTTGCTGTGCGTAGCGTAGGGTGACCCAAACAGAGGTCTGTACATGTCTCTCTGCATCAGAAGGAGCGAGGCACAAACATTTGGTCAGTCTGCAACGTACCGAAGCACAAATGTGTATTTAACGATGACTTGTACAAGAAATTCCAAGTTTTCCGTTGCGTTCGGGACAAGTGTGAGTCCATGTGCACAGTGTATAAAGCAGCACATATGTTTCTGTGTCCAGTGGGAAAAGTTTTGCCAGGTGAGAGTCGCGCAATGTTGATGACGAGTCCCCACCTCCCTCCCCCCGTACGGTGTCCTGGTTTTGACAAACGCAAATCTGGTCACACTAACCTGTATTCCCCTGAGTCGTGTCTTTTAATCTGACAGAAGTTAAACTGCATCAGTGACACAAGAGCTGTAGTTTTATCTTCGCTTAATTTATGTAAATTAGTGATGTGGTTTTAAGTTTTGTTTCTGTGAGAGTTGCGCAAAACTGAATTAAACAAGTTAAAATGTCAAACGGGCTGATGCGGCTCTAGAGTCGTTACGGTTTATATGTCATAAAGTTGAATTTATTTATGCAGATTAGTAGTGCAGATAGTAATAATAATGATGATCATTTTAATATAAAAAACATTAATGATTAATCGATAATCGATTGTTAATTCTTCCGACGATCGATTAAGAAAATTTCATCGAATGCCTAGTTCAGACCGTCATCATATAAAGGTAATCTGAGTCAGAGCACTTGTAAACGCAGACCGGAGTCCGTGTTCAGGTTTACCTTGTCTGCCACCTGGCGCACAGACTGAACGCTGGTGCCGTACAGGTGGTTGTTGTATTGTCCGGCCTCGATGAAGCGGTGCTCCTGGATGTCCCGCTCCATCTGCTCCCGGGACACCACGAAGTGATAGTCCCGACCGTCCACCTCGTAGTCTCGCTTCGGCCGCGTCGTATCTAGAAACGCAGGGTCAAACACGGTTACAAACAAGGTTACACACAGTTACAGAAAGGGTCACAGTGGGTTGATAAGGCAGTAGGTGATCAGTACCAGGTGGGAGGCAGAACTTCTGGTTTTTAGGAGTATTACAGTAGGTAGTGGGTAGCGGATAGTTACAGGTCAAGTAAAACGTAGGTATAATGAGCGGTGGGGCGGGAGGTGGAGTGTGTAGAGCGTTGGTTAAGCAGTAGACGATGAAAATAGGGTGCAAAGAGCCCGGCAATCCAGTGGGATCCAACGCAAAAGAGTGCGGCATGGGACGCATTTTGAAAACTCATTGTGGGCACGTTGGATGATAAACTGCAGTCCCACAAACTAAATATGAGTGTAAAGTAAAATATACAAATAATGAATGTATGCCTTTCATACTTAATTTGTGCTGGATATTTTATTTGGCATTAATAAAAACTAGGGCCGGGCACGTTAACGCGTTCATTTTGCGTTAACTGATTAAGTCATTATCGCCGACAATTATTTTAATGCCGTTAACGCAGTTTTTATTATTTATTTATTTATTTATTGTAAATGTCTGTTTGTTACTGGCTTTTATTTTGAAAAAGTCCACCACGAGCGTTTCTTTAAGTTTGACGTCTTTTTTTTTTTTTACACTTTTTTCACTTTTTCCTGTCCACGTGAGATGCAACGTGTCTGAGCCCGGCCGCGGGTTCGGCCGCGGGTTCGGCCGCAGGCTCCGGCTCCGGCTGGACCAGCCGTGCGCTCTGAGCTGAGCTTGTTTCTTTAGTGCTGCAGGGGGAGTCACTGATTTACCCAGACACCATTGGAAGAAAAATTGTGATTAGTCCATTTCCATTCCATTATATTAACCCAGGGGTGTCCAAACGTTTTCATCAAGGGCCACATCTCAAAACACAGATGAAGCAGAGGGCCGATCGAGCGTCGTAGACTGGAGCTCAATACAGTGAATAACTGAAATATGTGCATGTTTATCACGTTAGAATGAGCCATCAGTCTTTATTCACGCTAAGATCCTTAAAACCACACACTAAATATTAAATATGAGCTTTATCAATGTAGATTTCCAAAAAAACTTGCAGTAAAATGCTAATTTTTAATTGCTACAAAGTAATTTGGGCCAATTCACCTGGAAGCCTGAGGGCCAAGAAAAATTAGTTTGAGGACCGCAGTTGGCCCCCGGGTCATAGTTTGGACATGCCTGTATTAACCCTTTGTTTCCCAAGAAATATCAGTTTATAACAATGATCTATAAATTATTACTAGTGTTGTGTTTATTACTCACTGCATAAAAAATATTGAAAAAATATATTAGTAGTACAAAAGTTCATTCAATATTTTTTCTTGAGTCTTCACTGAACACCTTGAAGGTTCTGAGGTTCCCCTGTGAAAGAAATGCTGTTTGCACAACTAATATATGGTTCTTTCATTTACATTTCCAATAAAAGAGCGCTGTACTCTACTTTTTAATTAATTGATTGGTTTTGCGTATAACATGTGATTAATCACGATTAATTGTGATTAATCACTCGAACTCATGCGGTAGATTTTTTAAAATTTTTGCCCAGCCCTAATAAAAACATTTTAAGCAGCAGACTGTCCCCCCGTCCCATACGCCACACGGACAGTCCCTCCTCCCGTACATCATGCGGGCTACAACACTAAACCAGAACTAAACCAGGTCTAAACCAGGTTTAAAAACAGGTCTAAAACCAGGACTAAAACAGGATTTAGCCAGGACTTAACCATGCCGCCGGACCGCCCACCGCGCCTCCTCCCATACGCAGCCCAATTTCTTTCGCTTCTCCGTGTTTGATAGAGCTCAAGAAAGCAAACGTTCCCATCCTGTGGGACTTGCGGGGGGGAAGCGGGACTGAAAATTACAATTCTTTTGCGGGAGTGGACAGGAGAGGGACTGAAAATTCTGTCCCGCGTAGACCTCAGACCTCTAGTGGTGAGTAAAGATAGTAGGTTGAGGATACTGGATAGGGGGCAGGGGGGATGGTTAGAATAAAGAGATGGGATGTATGGGCCTGGAGGAGGAAAATGGAACAACTAGAGACCAGAACCAAGGACAGGGTCAACTGGAGAAGGACGCTCTGTGCCTCATGAGCCAACAGACGCACAGGGAGACAGTGAATAAGTAAATAAAATAGTGGTAGAGGACACAGTGTAGGGATCGTGGGGTGGGGGACATTTTCTGGTGTGTAGTGTGTAGAGGAGAGGAGCCGTACGTGGCACACAGGAGCCAAACTTCTCGGGGAACTCGGAGATGAGGTCGTCGTTGATGCGGTCCTTCATGGGGCCCAGGATGATGACGGGACGGGTGTAGCTCACTGCAAAGAGAAGAGTACGAACTCAGCAACAGCTACAAACACCAAGGAATGTAAATATGCACTATGTAACTGTTTGGTTGAGGGTCCCCGGGTTCCCACTCTTTTTCAGTGACAAAATTTCTAAACGTTAACGTAAACTTTTCATAACCTAGGCTATGTGTACATGATGACGGTCTGAACAGAAGACGCAAAAGTGGCGTTGTGTCTTCACTTTTTATTCCGCGTTCAGACGAGCGTTTTCGGGAGGTGACGCAAAAGTGTGTGGAATTAGGCGGCGATGTATGTGACGTAAACTCGTACGTGACGTGAGCAGATCTGACCAGAGTTTTGCGTCTTGGGCAGTGTCGACGGAAACGCTACGGCGGAGCGTATTCAACCTTTTCAATCTGGATTTTGGCTTCAGATTTTTGTGTTTTTAAGCCCCAAAAATGCCACCACTGTCTAAACGAAAGGCACTTCTGATAAAATATTTCGTCATTTTTACCCACAAATGTTCTCGTGTAAACAGGCCCTTAACTAAAGTGAATTTTCCATGATTTTGCAGCACCTACATGTGTAGAATTGATCAGACTTTTAGGGCTAAATATGAAATGTTAACTCTTTCCACTCACCTTATGGTTTGGGATTATAGTTTTTTAACGTTAAAAATAATGTCAGTGCATTTATTGTCGTCTCTTTTAAACAAAAGTCGCATACCGTTCGGAAATAATCTTATTGCCTCATGAGAACTTGACAGAATAATGTAGTTGCGTAAAAGAGATTCTAAAATTCCATGACTTTTCCAGGATTTCCATGCCCGTGGGAACACTGGGGTCTGTCACTTGCTTGTTTCCACAGACATGTCATTGCTCTACTCTGAATGTTCCACAGTATGAGATTAAACAGCTCTACTTTACATTTATTCAGTTACATGTGGTTTTGTAGCTCAAAAATACCTAGAAAAACAGGCATTCTGACTGGGTGGGGTTGCCTCGCCACAGATCTGTCCATTAACTTTGTCTCCATGAAGATAGAAAGGTTTAATATCATACTTTGATTTGATGGGGCCTCAACCAGAACAGTTACACAAAGCACCTTTAGGACTTCAGTTAATCTATTCTGCTGTTTTCATGTAATAAAGTAAAATATTTCTTGTACAGACGCAGTAAATTGTAGAGGCAGGTTTTAGTACACAGTGTACTCATTCTGACCACGTACGCTTCTAATTATAAAGTGTGAAACGCACTTACAAACTAATCACAGTGAATAATATCGACGCTCAAAATGCGTAAGCGAAATGAGGAACAACTTTAGACCACTGCAAACCGTTAAAAATGATGTAGTCTCATCTTTTTAAGGCAGTAAAAACAGGTACAGCTACAGCTAACACTAAACTAAAAAAAATATATTGTATTGCATAAGATAAATTTAAATTAAATTAAATAATAATAAAAAGATATATATAATAATAATACAAATAAAAAAAATAAATAAATGTAAGGGGTAAAGTTTTTGATCTCTATTGTATTTAAATAAATAAAAAAGTAATAATAGTAGTAATAATAATAAAAATAACAATAACAAATAAATAATAATAAATAATTAAAATTTTAAAAAAAATTTAATAAATGTAAGGGGTAAAGTTTTTGATCTCTATTGTATTTTAAAAAAAAACAATAAAAATAACATTAACAATAATAAATACATAAATAAATAAATGTATGGGGTAAAGTTTTTGATCTCTATTCTATTTAAATTAAAAATTAAATTTAAAATAAAATAATAATAAAAATAATGATAATAATCATAATCATAATAATAATAATGTAAGGGGTAAAGTTTTTGATCTCTATTGTATTAAAAAAAAAAGTAATAATAGTCGTAGTAATAATAAAAATAACAATAACAGTAATAAATAATAATGAATAATTAAATTAAAAAAATGTAATAAATGTAAGGGGTAAAGTTTTTGATCTCTATTGTATTAAAAAATAAATAATAAAAAATAAATAATAATAATAATAACAACAACATTAACAATAATAAATAATTAAATAAAAAATAATAATAAATGTAAGGGGTAAAGTTTTTGATCTCTATTGTATGTGTATTATCTTAACTGTAAAAATAAAAACTGTTTTGGTTGTTTGGGTGTTTTTGGTTTTTGTGTGTGTGTGTGTGTGTACATTCCACGTGACTCAAATGTGAATAAAAGCAGCAGCAGTTCTGACCTTCTTGTTGGACGACGGGCTCGTAGGACAGCACGTACTCCTCCTGTCCACCTGAGGGAGACAGAGGACACAGGAGCGGTCAGAAAAGGACAAGGGGACAGGACAGGGACACACAGAGGAGACACACAGACTCTGTCCACACTGACGACTCTGCATTTGAACTTTGTGAATAGTTTTGCGTTGGGATCAGGTTTTGAAAAGTGCGTGGTTTAAAAAATACAAGTACACGAGGCAGACAAGAGTTCTGCAGTAGAATTTGACATTTTAAAGGAACTGTATGTAAGTCTGAGTGAGAGACTTAACCTGCAGATCGAGGACACAAAAGTACAAGTTTAAATTTAATAACAAATATAAAATAGATACAACTTAAATGTCAAACTGGAGCGACTGCCGACGATGAAAACAAACTGCATAGACTCATGATGTCTGTTCTGCTGTCCTATAGTGACCTGAGACATGAGGGACCAGGACTGGACCAGGACTAAACCATTCTCCTGCAGTCACCTGACGGTCTATGCGGGCGCACCTCTGGGCCTGTCTCAGACCTGGTTTAGACTTGATTTAGTCCTGGTTTGGTCTTGGTTCGGTCCTGGTTCAGATCTGGTTTAGACCTGGTTTAGACCTGGTTCAGTCCTAGTGTAGTCCTGATGTAGACCTGATGTAGTCCTGGTTTAGACCTGGTTTAGTCCTGGTTCAGTCCTGGTTCAGTCCTGGTTCAGACTTGGTGTAGTCTTGGTTCGGTCCTGGTTCAGACCTAGTTCAGACCTGGTTCAGTTCTAAGTGTAGACCTGATGTAGACCTGATGTAGACCTGATGTAGACCTGGCTCAGTCCTTGTTCAGTCCTGGCTCAGTCCTGGTTTAGAGACCTGGTTTAGAGACCTGGTTTAGAGACCTGGTTTAGAGACCTGGTTTAGACCTGGTGTAGACCAGATGTAGACCTGGCTGAGCCCTGGTTCAGTCCTGGTGTAGTCCTGGTTTAGAGTCCTGGTATAGACCTGGTTTAGACCTGGTTCAGTCCTGGTTCTTGGCCATTAATGTTTTGGTGATTAAGAATAAATGAGCATTAGACTTGTTATGACTAAAAACTGTTTCTGATTTGAACATTTTGTGCCTGGGGACACAGTTACGTCACGTTTATAAAACTTTACACACAGTTCCTTTGACGCTATTTTTTTTATCATTTTCTTCTTAGTGACACTATTCCACGAGATCGAGTTTGGACTGGGTCAAATGCAGATCCGTGTGTGCGGGTCACAGAGCAGAGGAAGAGGAGGAGTTTGCAGAGATGAAGGGTCAGGTGGGAGCAGGACTTACGGTAACTACTCTCACTATCACTGGCATTGGACGTCACATGTTCTGCAAGCAACAACAACAACAACACAGCGTGAGAAATACCACAGGGCGTAGAACCAGCAACCTGCACGTGGAGTCCAACCGGAAACCCAAAACCACAAAGTCATACTAACACGCAGAGGTGGGAAAAGTAACATAGGATAGAAATTGTTCCTTTAAAATGATCATCTGTATTTAGAGGTGTTTTTTTTTTTTTTTTTTTTTTTAAATTGTATATTTTTTATATTTTTATTTTTTTATATTTTATTAAATTTTTTATATTTTATTTTTTATATTTTTTATTTATTTTATTTTATTAACTGCTAACACATAACATTTACCGTAAAATCTAGACTATTAAGCGCACCTGAATATACGCCGCATCAACTAAATTTTAAAATTGAACATATATAGTCCGCACTGAATTAGGGATGGGCATACAAAGACATTTTTTTAATCGATTGTCGGGAGATTTACCGATCAATTTTCGATTAATCATTAAAGTTTTTATATTAAAAGTATCATCTTTATTACTATTACTAATTTGCATAAATAAACTCAATTTTACAACATATAATCCATAACCATAATCTAGAGCCACATCAGCCCATTTCTGTTTAATGCAGCTTTGCGCAAGTCTTACAGAAACTAAATTTTAAACGGCATGGCTAATTTACATAAACTGAGTAAGAAAAAAATGATGCAGTTTAGCTTCTGTCAGATTAAAGGACACGATGTTCTTTCTGTGACAGAGGGACGTTGATGCTGAAGGTGAGTCTGTTCTGAGTGTCGCGATGTTTTCAAAGATCGTACGTGTGCAGGTTTAGCGCAGATCTTTATGTTGTAGTAACCGGGATACTGCGTTTACATGCACCATGACATGCAACCCAGACACTGATGTGCATGTAAACGCACTCACTGAGCGGTACAGTGATCTCCAAGGAGGTGCCAGAGCCCAAACGTGGAACTGTGAGGCCGCAACTCCAGTGTTTGTGCTGACAGATGCAGCCTCGTCTCTACGCACAGAAACCTACATTCGGTTTGTCGATTAAAAATGAACATAATCGACGAAATTCTTAATGATTAATTATTGATTAGTCGACTTATCATGCCCATCCCTAACCTGAATATAAGCCGCAGGTGTCCACGTCTTCAAGAGTGTTATTAAGTTCGCTTTTATCTGCTTTTATCACCTCTGAAAGATTTTGTTGCGTTTTTGCGTTGAGTCAGTTCGTCACGCTGGTGTCGCCAAAATCTCACCATCGACTCACTGATGCCGAGCTCACGTGCGGCCGCTCCGTTTCCTTCGACAGCCACATCAATCGCCTTTAACTTAAAATCTGCATCGTCTGTATTTCTTCGCGTGTTTTCCATGAGGAGGGGGTGTGTGTATGAAGCGCAAAATAACTTCAAAACACAAACAAACGAGCATTTTTGCATGTTTTTGTATATTTACGGAGAATTATCATTTGGGAACATGGGTGACGTGGGCTTGTGGGCGGAGCCTTGTTCAGAATCTTACAGCTAAATGTAAGGAGGGTTTGAATAATGCCTTGAAAAGATCACTAGATTACTCAAACCTGCATGGATGACATTCAGGCATTTTTTAAGGGAACATCATTAATAGAAAACTCCAAAAAAAAAAAGACAATTTGGCAAAACATCCTACAAATTATTCAGTTAATGGGATCAAACTAATCCTTAAAAACAAAGAACATTAAAATTTTTACTTCTAAGTCTAATTTTAGATTTGAGTAACTATTAAAAATGTTTTCCCACCTCTGCAACACTTTTTCAAGGAGTGTGTGTAAAAGTGTAAAAGAAAACACTAATAAGTAAGGAAATATTATGGTTCCAAGTAATTAAAAAAAGAAATAAAAGGAACAAAATTGCATGTTGGTCAAGTGTTTAAAATATTCAACAGGATATGAGAAACCACCAGCAGAGGGCAGCACAGGACACATGGGCTGAAATGAGGAAGAGGAGGAGAGGAAGGGGGAGGGGCCTCAGTCTCCACCGACATTTCAAAAACAAAAATACAGTGAATTCTTGGGTCGAGTCAGTAATAGTATTGATCAGGGATGGGACAAGATCTCGTGCCACAAGTTCTGTGACTAAATTAACACAAAACTGGCAGACGTTTGGAAACAAGCGGATGACAACTTCCTCTAGGTTCAGTCGGCGATAGTGACTCTGCGAAAATCTGGGAAAACTGAGAAAATGGTCAAGTTTTTCCTTTTACAAGCTGTCTATTAATATGTGTATTATAATTTGTCAAACTTAGTAAAAATAAAAACAAACAAAATGTCATTGTCACGTCAGTTCTTGTGGGGGTTGCGGTTCTCGTGGGATTCATGTGGGGCTTGTGGTTCTTGTGAGTTTTGAGCTTCTTGTGGGGGAGTTCACGGTTCTTGTGGGACTCGCGGTTGTTGTGGGACTCGCATTTCTCGTGGGGATTGTGGTTCTCGTTCTTGTGAGGTCCTTGTGAGGTCCTTGTGGGGTTCCTTGTGGGGTCCTTGTGGGGTTCTTGTGAGGTCCTTGTGTGGGGTCTTGTGAGGTCTTGTGGGGTCCTTGTGGGGTCTTGTGGGTCTTGTGAGGTCCTTGTGAGGTCCTTGTGGGGTTCTTGTGGGGTTCTTGTGGGGTTCTTGTGAGGTTCTTGTGGGGTCTTGTGAGGTTCTTGTGGGTTCTTGTGAGGTCCTTGTGGGGTTCTTGTGAGGTTCTTGTGGGGTTCTTGTGAGGTTCTTGTGAGGTCCTTGTGGGGTTCTTGTGAGGTCCTTGTGAGGTCCTTGTGGGGTCTTGTGGGTTCTGTGGGTCTCCTTGTGAGGTCCTTGTGGGTCCTTTGTGAGGTCTTGTGGGTCCTTGTGGGGTTCTTGTGAGGTGGGGTCTTGTGGGGTTCTTGTGGGTGTTGTGAGTCTTGTGAGGTCTTGTTCTTGTGAGGTCCTTGTGAGGTCCTTGTGGGGTCCTTGTGAGGTCCTTGTGGGGTCCTTGTGAGGTCCTTGTGAGGTCCTTGTGAGGTCCTTGTGGTCCTTGTGGGTTTCAGTGGGGCTTGCGTTCTCGTGGGGAGCTCATGGTTCTTGTGGAGTTTCACGGTTCTTGTGGGAGTTTGCAGTTCCTGTGGCGCTTGTGGTTTCTCATGCAGTTCATGTGGGGCTCGCGTCTCTCGTGGGGTTCACAGTTCTCATGGGGGTTGTGGTTCATGTGGAGCTTGTCATTCTCATGCGGCTCGTGGTTCTTGTAACTACACCTGAAGTCGTCATCCGCATGTTTCCAGCATCTTCTGGCAGCGTGAATAGAGCCAATAATCTGAATTCTTGGGTCTAGTCAATAACAGTAATAATTAGGGGACGGGACAAGATCTCGTGCCACAAGATCTCATGAGACAAAAGATTGTGTGCACACATGAGAATAATTATCTTGTGAGATTTTTTTTCCCCCCTGAACTGAACTTTGGCTTGGACAAAAAAATTGTCAAAATCTTGTCTTGTCTCGTTCTCGTGGAGCTAATCTCGTCTTGTGAAAATTGTGTCTCATCCCACTCCTAGTAGTGATCAGGTTCAAGTTTTATGCATTTACTTTTTAGATATTTCACGGTAAAGTACAATGTGGTGGTGAAGGAGATACTTGTTTTTAGTCTCATGAAAGATTTTACAGTCACATTTCAATTCAAAATATTAAAGTTTTGCCTGTGTAATCCCTCAATTCTCCAGGTAAACAAAATTGAGTTCTGTCACCTGGACAAAAGTTCGCAGAGTGAGTAGGTTTTGCTAATCCATGAGGTTTCTTGAGTTCGGACGAGGTTCTGTGAGTCACTGCCTTATATGCGTCTGAAGGGAGAAGTTAACGGCCCTGAAACTAACACACCCTAGTTGTTTACAGTAAGCAGTAAATGTTATTAGGTAATTTGTACCAAACGACAACTGCTGAATTCGCTGCTGATTCAGAAAATAAAACTGGGGAACGAAGCACGTACGTCACAGTGGGTGTGGCGGAAAATACGGGGATTGAACGGCAGCACGGAGTCTTAAAAACAACTAACTTAAAACACTTTACAACTTTTTTTTGCTGGTTTGAGCCCATTGAACTATCCTAAGGTGTGAACTGTCCCCTTGAAAATGCAAAACAGAACCCCGTCAGACCTGAAGAAGCCAAACGTATTCATTCGTATTCAAACTTTTGTTCATTTGACAGAATTTTGTTTTCTTTTGCTGGAATTAATTAATGGTTTGTAATGCAGGTCCCGAAAACGTCAGAGAACCCAGTTACATCCGGTAACTATTTCAGACAGTTTAATACAGTTTAGCTTTAGTCATGACTCATTATTTTATTTATGGGAGCGTTATGGGAGCGGTGGAGACGAGGGGAGGGACAGAGAGGACGGAGAGATAGAGGGATAGAGAGATAGAGGGACAGAGAGGACGGAGGGGACAGGCCGGACAGGAGACGACTTACTGTGTCCTTTGGAAAGAGGCTCATCACACAGGTCCTGTGGTCAGTGTGCGAACAAAACACATTACAAGTTATGCAAGGAAAGAGAGAGAGAGAAGAAAGAGAGAAAGAGAGAGAGTGGAGAGAAGGGAGAGAGGAGAGAGAGAGAGAGAGAGAGAGAGAGAGAGAGAGAGAGTGGAGAGAGAGAGGAGAGAGGAGAGAGGGAGAGAGGAGAGAGAGAGAGGGAGAGAGAGAGAGAGAGAGAGAAGAGAGAGAGAGAGAGAGAGAGAGAGAGAGAGAGAGAGAGAGGAGAGAGATAGAGAGACAGGGAGGGAGAGAGAGTGTGGAGAGAAGGAGAGGAAGAGAGAGAGAGGAGAGAAGGGGGGATGGACAGAGAGAGGAGAGAGAAATAGAGAGAGAAGGAGAGGAGAGAGAGAGAGAGAAGGGGGGATGGACAGAGAGAGGAGAGAAGGAGAGAGAAGGAGAGGGAGAGAGAGAGAGAGAGAAGAGAGAGGGAAAGAGAGAGAGAGAGAGAAGGAGAGGAGAGAGAAGAGGAGAGAAGGAGAGGGAGAGAGAGAGAGGAGAGAAGGAGAGAGGGAGAGAGAGAGAAGAGAGAGAAGGGAGAGGGAAAGAGAAGAGAGAGAGAGGAGAGAAGGAGAGAGAGAGAGAGGAGAGAGAGAGAGAGGAGAGAGAGGGGAGAGGGAAAGAGAAAGAGAGAGAGAGAGAGAGAGAGAAGGAGAGAGGGAGAGAGAGAAGGAGAGGGAGAGAGAGAGAGGAGAGAAGGGGAGAGGGAAAGAGAAAGAGAGAGAGGAGAGGGAGGGAGAGTGTAGAGAAGAAGAGAGGAGAGAGAAAGAGTGAACGAAACAGGGGAGAGAGAGAAGAGAGGGAGACAGTGAAGAGAGGGAGAGAGAAAGAGAGACACAGAAAGTGGAGAAAACGGGTGAGTGGGGGAGAGAGAGGATAGAGGGAGAGAGAGAGAGAAGAGAGGGAGAGAGAAGGGAGAGCTGAGAGAGGAAAGAAGGAGAAATGGAGAGAGAAAAGTGGGAGAGGGAAAGAGTGGAGAGAAGGGAAGAGAGAGAGGAGAGAGATGAGAGAGGGAGGGAGAGTGGAGAGAGTGAGTAAAAGAGAGAGAGAGAGGGTGATAGAGAGGAAGGGGGAGCGAGAGAGAGAGAGGAGAGAGGGAGAGAGAAGGGGAGAGAGCGAGAGCAAAAGAGAGGACAGAAGGAGAGAGAGAGCAGGGGAGAGAGATGGAGAGAAAGAGAGCAAAGGGGAGAGGGAGGGAGAGAGAGAGAGAGAGGACAGAGAAGAGAGAGGGGAGAAAAGGAGAGAGAGAAAAGAGGGGAGAGGGAAAGAGAGAGAAAGAGGAGACAGGGAGGGAGAGCGAGTGGAGAGAGAGAGCAGAAAGAAGGGGAGAGAGAAGGAAAGAGAGGACAGAGGAAGAGAGAGAGAGAGTGGAGAGAAGGGGAGAGAGAAAGAGGGAGACAGAGAGAAGGAGTGGGAGAGAGGACAGAGAGATAGAAACCAGAGCAGAAAGGGGAGCGGGAAAGAGAGAAAGAGATGAGAGAGGGAGGGAGAGAGAGTGGAAAGAAGGGGAGAGGAAAAGAGAGGGAAAGAGAAAAGAGGGAGAGAGCGAGCAGAGAAAAGAGGGATGGAAAGACTGAAAAAGTGAGAGATGAGAGAGAGAGGAAATAGGGAGAGAAGGCAGGGGAGAGAAAGAGGGAAGGATGGGAATAAAAAAGAGAGAAAGTTAAAGAGCTGAGAGGAGGGGGGGGGGAGAGAGAGAGAGAAACAGCATGAAGAAAAGAAAGAGAAGAGAAAGAGACACTCGATAGACACCAGAGAGGACAGAGGAGAGGGACGCTGGACCAGTACTTTTGTTTTTTCCCGACACGTCCAGCTCCCCCTCTCCCCTCGCGCCCTCACGTCCTGTCGCTTCAGTCAAACCGCGCCGCCGCCGTGTGTGGGTGGGTGTTTGTGTGTGTGTGTGTGTGTGGGTGGGGGGGGTCCCTCGGGTGCTACTCACGCTCCACGTCGCTGCTCTCCTGCTCGCTCGCCTCTTTGCTCTTGTAGAAGGGGAACTTTCGGCTAAACGGGTTCTTTTTACGCTTGTCATTGACAGACTGCGGAGGAGGAGGAGGAGGAGGAGGAAGAGGGGAGAGGGGGAGGAGGGAGGAGTGATGGAGATGGAGGAAGAGAAGACACACATGACACACATGAACCTGGGACCGACCGCGCACACACACAAACGCACACAAACGCACGCACAACTCCTGATCCTGAAGAAAGTAAGAAAACCTCGTGTCAAACAGCTGAGCCCCGGACACAAAAACCCTAAAATCTGCACATTTTGTATAAGTTTTGGTGAGAAGAGCCGCTGCTGTAGCTTCAATCTGACCACGACACGTTTAAAGAGCGATACATGATTCTGAAAATATCACGAGAAACGATAATTCTGCCCTACAAAAAAGCAGAACGCCGTAACCTCATGTTTGGTCACAAATGAGTTCATGTCATTTTGTTGCCCTTAAAGGTTGTATAGAAGATTTTCCAAGGAAAGAGAAATGCAGCGACTGTTTGTCCTTTTTTAAATGTTGCGCTTCGCACCTTTTCCCCTTCTCTTCTTCTTTCAGCAACATCAAACACTGACTTTCTTTTGCGGCGAACCGGTCGTGAATTCTTCTCTGCCATTAAAACAAAATTTGTGCAAACTGAGAGCTACAGTTCAAAAAAGACGCCAAAAACCGCTAAACATGAACCGCGAACATAAACCACACAATCCAAGTCAGCGACGTTAGAAACGTAGGGAATTTGATTGACAACCTAACAGCCAATAGATAAAGAGGTAGCCTTGTTATCTATTGGCTGATGTTTATCTGCCCTCACTACGTCCACAGTTGATGGATTTTCATTCTTTTTTTTGGTCATCATAATTACAAGGCTGCTTCTTCTTTATAATTCTATTTTGAACTTTCATTGACAATTTGAAAAAATATTTTAAAAAATCCTCCATACAACCTTTAAGGGCATTGTTCCTTCAATTAAAGCGTTGCTTTAATAAATAACTTAATTCATTTCATGTTTAAAAATGTATTATGTATTTTAATTTTATTTATTTTTAGGGTATTTCATTGTATTTATAGTTTAAATTAAGAAAAAAATAGCTTAATGGGGACATTTCCTGTTTGTCGTTTTCTGGTTTCCATGGTAGACAGGCTGCATGTGGGATCTGTCGCGCTGGTCTCATCAATCGTAATCCACCTTGGAGCTCAAAGCAGGCAATGCCCTGAGTTACTTAATGCGCTTATAACTTCCTAAACATTCATATTTTTGTATTAATTGAATACACAACGTTTTATGATGAATGTACTTTCTGTTTGTGTCACATTCGGCTCAGATTCTAAAAGCAAAGTCGTTGTTTGTTACAGTTTTCACCATCTGAAGGGGAAAATTAAATTGCCGAAACTTCTCCTGTGATTCTTCTTCAGTGGTTTAACGAAGTGTCACATCAAGGACGTAACAGCCATTTTGTTTGTATTTGCGATTTCCTTTGTCACGTGAATAAATATCGTGAAAAATATTGAGCTCAAAATTGACCTTTGACGTTTATTTGTCAGTTCACCTAGTGCCTCCGCTCAATTTCATTTCTCTCCGGCGACTAGGTCAGGAATCGGAATACACTAGACGATTTGCAAGGAAGTTGTAGACCGTGTACCGGCCAATCAGTGAAGAGCTGGGAAGCCATGACGTCAAACTCAAGCGTCTGTCTGGGTCCCTTTTGTGGAACAGCACAACAGTAAACAAAGCGTCGAGATGGATGTAGACGAAGACAGACATTCTGTGTTGGCAACGATTCCCGAGATCGAGGATTTAAAGCCGGAACAAAGAGAATGTTTGGTGAATTTCATCACGGGGAAACACGTTATTGCCCTTCTTCCTACAGGATTTCGGAGCATTACATACGTCACGACCAAATAGCAGCGATTGGTTAAATAAAAAAAATACCTGCCTGCAGTCGAGCGAACGAATCCTAATGCTGCGAGGTCAGACGGTTTCCACGAAGTGAAACCGACTGATGAATCAGGCTAAAGTCATGAGCCAAAAATAAGGAGTTGTGCAAAGGCAAAAGGCAGTAACTGTGCATGTTTATTTGTGATTTAGTTCATAAATCTATTTAAAATCCAACCTGTCACCTCCTTTTTGTTGCAGCCTTAGCACAGGGTCTCAACACATTAAATAAATAAACCTTTGTATTCAGTTTTATATAAATTATCTTTAATGTGAAAGTATTTGGTGTATTTATTCAAAGTCACTTATGTGTCAAACTGTTTAACTGTGTAAGTGTCGCTGCACGATCTTGATCAGCACTAAATAAAATCCAAAGCTCTTCTACATCATTTCAAACAAACTCCATGATGACTCGACCTTGGTGAGGTGTTTTTCTTATAATGGTTGGAAGTCTGAGGAAAATCAAGGAAATAATGATCATGTCAGTTACTGCCTTTTGTCTTCGCACGACTCCTTATTTTTGGCTCTTGATACAGGAACTGCCAAATAAGGTCAAAGCTCAATATTTTTCGCAAATAAATATTTTTTCATTATACCGACTAGTTGTCAAATTTTGGGAGCCCTACCCATTATAATTTTGTCTGGACAAAACAGAAACTTAATTTTTCTCAGTTTCACACTCTAGCACATTTAGGTCTTTTGCCTTTGTAGGGCAGAATATTGAAATACATATATACCACTTTCATAATAACCTTAAAGCAAGGCTCCAGTCTGAGTCCTTAAAGCAGGAGAATTACAGTTAAAAAATGTCTAAGTGAATCATATGAAGCAGAATACAGTCTATAAACAGTACAAGGTAACACTACAGGAGTTGTTTCTAGTATTTATAATGTGTGATGTAAAATAATTACAGTATTTGACCATTTACAACTCACAAAAGCTTAATACTAATGTCTAATTACGAAAGATTTCCACACTGGTGCAAAGAAAAAGTACATGCGAAAACATAAAAAAATGGTAAGGATGTAACAATAACCGAAATATTGTGTCAAAAGTCTCACAATAATAACATGGGGCTTCACAATATATCGAAATTACAAGTTTCTTTGCTTAAATGCATTGTTTTACAGTAGCGATTGATAATAAACATCGGGAACTACATTTCCCATGATTCATTTCAGCGCAGACAACGTGAAGGAATGTGTTTTTACTTGAATTTTTGGGATTATGATGTAAATAATTCAAACCAAAATCTCATCAGGGGATTTTAAAAGCAAAAAAAAAAAGCATCCTCTCTCCAAAATATCGCAATAAATAACCGTGAGATGCATATCGTGATAATATCGTACCGTGAGATTTGGATATCGTTACAGCTCTAACAGACTGCGGTCTCTACTTTGGTCGATCTCGATAATAAATCTTTAAAAAGTTTTAAAAAGCGCGTGGAGCTGGTGAGGATTTACGCTCTTGTTTAGGAAAAAGCACCTGAGCCACAGCGCGTCTCTTTATGTTTCCTCACGTTTACCAGTTTTGATCTGCACCACTTGATTAAAAAGTCCGGTCTCTTTCTGTCTTTCTCTGCGTGTTCTAAAACTTTTGACCGGTAATGTGTCTAGTCATTAGTGTGGAAACAGTCATTACTGCCGCGCTGTTGTGGTCACCGCCTTTAAAAGCCGTTCACAAACACAACTCTGCCTGTGGAAACCTGTCAACATAATGACTATAAACGTTATTCCGCCCCGCACACCTTAGTCTCTTAATGCTCCTAAACCGGGCTTCTTTGTGGCGGCACTTCCGGTTAAACAGGAATCCCACTGATGCCAAAGGAGGATTTGGGAAATGTTTTGCAATGTTAAATATGTTAAATATGACATAAAGTCGGTTCTAGGGACGGGCATTTGATTAAACTTTCTTAATCGATCGTCAGGAGAATTAACAGTCGCTTTTATATTAAAATTATCATCATTATTATTATTACTATTACTAATCTACATAAATAAACTCAACTTTACAACCAGTGTTGGGAAGGTTAATTTTAAAATGTATTCCCCTACAGATTACAGATTACATACCCCAAAATGTAGTTTGTAATGTAATTCCATTAAATTACTTAAAGTGAGTAACGTAATCTGAATACTTTGGATTACTTGATATTGTCGTGCTTTTTAAAACAACATGAATGTAACAACCACATCCTGAAAATTCTTTTTGTTCTCTTCAAATTCTCTGTTGAGCCCAAGTTTCCATGAATAAGCAACTGTTTGTTGCAGAGAAGCAAAGACCAGGAAATCTTAACATAAGATGTTTTGTTTTATCTGCTAAAAGAAAATAAAAAGCCCAGTCTTTACTTAAGCATATAAAAAATATTATTGATAGAGAAATTATTTCTATATGAGATCACTGCTGCTTTAAATTATGTCCAACCTACTGTTAGTGTCATATTGTTTAGTCCTGGTTTAGTCCTGATTTAGTCCTGATTTCCTGATTTAGTCCTGATTTAGTCCTGATTTAGTCCTGAATTTAGTCCTGGTTTAGTCCTGGTTTAGTCCTGGTTTTAGACCTGGTTTTAGACCTAGTTTTAGACCTAGTTTTAGTCCTAGTTTTAGTCCTAGTTTAGTCCTGATTTAGTCCTGATTTAGTCCTGATTTAGTCCTGAATTAGTCCTGATTTAGTCCTGATTTAGTCCTGATTTAGTTCCTAGTCCTGTTTTAGTCCTGTTCAGTCCTGTTTTAGTCCTGTTTAGTCCTGTTTTAGTCCTGTTTAGTCCTGAAGTTTAGTCCTGTTTTAGTCCTGTTTTAGTCCTAGTGTTTTAGTCCTGTAGTCCTGTTTTAGTCCTGGTTTAGTCCTGGTTTTAGTCTTTAGTCCTAGTTTAGTCCTAGTTTCCGTTTAGTCCTGGTTTAGTCCTGGTTTTAGTCCTAGTTTTAGTCCTGGTTTAGTCCTGGTTTAGTCCTGGTTTAGCCCAAAATGTAAAAACAGGAAAATACCGCCGTGTAATCCATTTATTTCAACAAAGTAACTGTAATCTAATTCCCACTCATTAAAACTGTAACTGTAACTGAATACAGTTACTCATAATTTGTACTCTGATTACATAACTCCGGTACATGTAATCTGT